TCCAAGTTAGTATTCTTCCCAATAAACCATGCTGTCTTTCTAATTTGTAAAGAACTAAAATAATGAACATGTAACATCAAAACAACACTGAACACAATTTACTCTCTTTGGATGATTGAGAACACATCTTAGGATCATAAACAGAATTGGATTTGTAAGCTAGGGTCTTCAACATAAACATCAGTCATCTCCACAGCATTCAGCCAAGATGATTAAGAAAGATATCTGGTTAATCCACATCCATCTCTATTATAGTAAAAACCCGTTGCCATCGAGGAGATTTTGACTCATAGGGACCCTATAAGACAGAGTAGAACTGCCCCACAGGGCTTCCAAGGAGCAGCTGGTGGATTCGAACTGCTGACCTTTTGGTTAGCAGCCCAGCTCTTCACCACTTCGCCACTAGGGCTCCCTCTATTATAGTGTACTTTGCTAATTCTGGAAACCCTGATAGAGTAGTGGTTAAGTGCTACGGCTGCTACACAAAAGGTTGGCAGTTAAATCCACCAGGCGCTCCTTGGAAACTCTATGGGGCAGTTCTACCCTGTCCTATAGGGTCGCTATGAGTCGGAATCAACTTGATGGCAACGGGTTTTTTTTTTTGGGGGGGCAAATTCTGGAACTTTATCACTTCAAAGAAGTCATGAATTACCATTTGGTCTGAAATCTAGAATTGGTGTCCAGTTAAAATTTACATTGTCCTTTATGGCTATAGACCATATCTGAGCTCTGCTTTGCTGAATATAAAATAGGAATTATATATATACCCTGTAGGGTAAGGATTACTATAAATGAGATACCCTTGTAAAGAACTTGGTAGCATGCCTTCCAACACATGGTAGCTACTACATAACAGAAAAATTATAAAAAAAAAAAAAAGAGCTGTTGATATCTTCACTTTAACAAAAAGAAATCTTTGGAAAAAACAAAGCAGAAACATCATCAAACTTGCACTGAAAAACAATTCAAGTTTAATATAAAGTATGAAAATACCTGATTGTGTTTCTCTGGTTATAAAAGTAACTTATGCTTATTCTACAAAGAAAATGAAAATCACGGATAATGCTACCACTGTCAATGTTTTGGTATACATCCCTCCAAAGTTTTACACACACACATGCACAGGCACGTTTTGTGTACATTTTGTGTGCATGTTTTAGACAAACCAGATCAATCAACTCAATTCTGCGCTCTCTTAGAAAAAAATCTACTCCCCCAAAAGAAAAATAAACCCTTCAACCCTCATATTAGAGTATATAAGAAATGCTGTTTTCCAACTTGTTTAACTTAATATACCACATGTATTGTTCTACTAGGAGCCCTAGTGGCACAGTGGTTAAGAGCTCTTCTGCTAACCAAAAGGTCAGCAGTTCGAATCCACCAGCCTCTCCTTGGAAACCCTATGGGACAGTTCTACTCTGTCCTATAGGGTCGCTATGAGTTGGAATCTACTTGATGGCAATGGGTTTGGTTTGGTTGGGGATTGTTCTAATAAGGAGCCCTGGTTGCACAGTGGTTAAGCACTCAGCTGCGAACTGAAAGGTCAGCGGCTCCCTGGGAGAAAGTTGTGGCAGTCTGCTCCCGTAAAGGTTATAGTCTTGGAAGCCCTGTAGGGCAGTTCTATTCTGTCCCATAGGGTCACTATGAGTCGGAATCAACTCAACAGCATTTGGTTTTGGGTACTGTTCTATTCCAGCAGAGAACATCATCATTTTTAGTGTCCAGTATTTCACTGAATAGTAAACTTTTGGTCTCTCTCCATGTAAATTCTAAATACCACAGCCATATTTTAACCAATCACACTGTTCCCAAATTTTCCTACCGTAAACAATGCTGTGATAACAGTGAACAGGCATCTTTGCTTAGCTGAGGGGCATGACATGCACATTCTACATTTTGATATGCACTACCAAACTGCCCTCTGGAAAAACTGCCAATTTACATTCCTATTGGCAGTGTATTGAAGTGCTTGTATTTCTATACCCTTGCCTATCTCGGTTTGCTTTGAAATAAAATCTTGCTTTTACTACCACAATTACTAGTGAAAGCCTTTAGGATCAATTAGGAAAGAGCTATTTGGCTTAGGTTAGGGAGACTCTAAGGAGCCCTGGTGGCACAGTGGTTAAGCGCTCGGCTGTCAACCAAAAGATCTGTAATTGGAACCCACCAGCAACTCCATGTGAGAAAAGACCTGGTGATCTTCTCCTGTAAAGATTACATCCTAGGAAACCTTGTGAGGCAGTTCTGCTCTGTCCTATAGGTTCACTATGAGTTGGAATTGACTGGATGGCACACAACAACAACAGGGAGAAGCTATCTGAGGAAAACACACACACAAACACTACTGAGACGGAAAAAAAAAAAAATCCCAGGATCCAGATAATCAGAAATCACCATTTAATTGGAAGCTGGGTTTTCATCATTCTGCTCAGTCCACCTTACTATTTGTTTTTATTTGGTATGTTTTATTTTTCAGTCATCATCTATGGGCAGAAGGGAAATGAAGGACTATATGACGATAAAGCAAATAAACACCTCCAACAAAGTTAACTGAATCTGATCGATGACTGGGCACCACTCCCTTGGATCAACCGCTTCACCCCGCTCTACTGATTGCGTTGTATCAAATGTTTTACCCCCCAAATGATAACCAAAGTGTTTGCTCTGACTTCTGTGGCCATCAGCCAATTTCACAACAATCAGTATCCATGATGATTTAACGTAAGAACAACCTCGGCCTGTTTCAACCTAACACCCCAATGTGACAGAGGAAGAAAAATGGCCATCCCAGGAGAGGAGTCTGCCCAACACAGTACCCTGAACCAGAAGCCTGGCCAGGCTCTGAATGCGTTTTATATCTAAAGATGCAGAGTAGACCCTTCACAGCAATCAGATAATCAGATTCACCTTATACTTCTTTAATCTGACCAACAGCATGGCCCTCAGGACAGAATAATAGCAGCTATGAAATGGCATTTAAAAAGTTAAGATGATGCTTTCCCTTTGAACTACTATTTAGAGATCCTCCAAGTGTCCACAGAAAGGTCTATGAATCAAAAGACTGCAATTTAGCTTTATACTGGTGAAATGTAGTATGACTTCAGACCAAGGCTGCTGGTTCAGACTTCATAAGGGAGAAAGTGCTACCTTCTGAGCAGCATCATCAGCGTCTGCACCGAGTGAGCCTCTACTCAGGAGACTTGCAAACCAGTGACCACCTGATTCATGTTTGCTCTGATTTGGGTCATTTGTTTAACTGATATTTACTAAGTATTATTAGAGAACAGGTGTTACTTTAGGTGCTGGGCAGCTTCACTAGACAGCAGTGAAGAACACAAACTAAGTCCCTGCTCTTGTATTCTAGTTGGACAGACAAACTGCCAACAATTATAAATGCTAATAAATAATTTCAGGTAGTGACAATGCTATATAAAGCAGATAAACCAGGGGATGTAACAGGCAATGACTTGGTGGGGAGAAGCTTCATTAGATGGGATAATCCAGAAAGACTCGTCTCAGGAGGCGATATGTGAGCTAGACTGGAATAAGAAGAAGCCAATCACGCAATGATCTGGGAGAACAATGTTCTAGGAGAGGGACTAGCAAAAGTGAATGAATGAGCTTGTGGTGTTTGACAAAAAGAAAGAGGGCCAGTGTGGCTGAAGTGGTGAATGAGAGAATAGAGAGACGAGGCTAGAAAAGGCCAGATTCTACAGGGCCTCAGAGACCGTAGCAGAGTCTGGATTTTATCCTAGGAACAATGGAAAACCATTAAAGAGCTTAAACACGGGAGTGCTATAACCTGACTTAAGCACTGACAGCTGCCTGGAGAACGTGGAGAATGGACTGCAGCAGCGCAAGAGTGGAAGTAAGGGGACCAATGACTACTGAAATAGTCTCCATGAGAGATGCTAAAGGCTTGGGCTAGGGTGGTGATGGGAATGGAGAACATCAGATTCAGGGTACATTTCAGAGAAATGACATGACTTGCTGATGAATTAGATGTGTGGGGGCATAACTAGAGAATCAAGTAGAGTGTAGGCAATCAAAGGTTCTTTTCTGGACACGTAGAGAGGTCTAATAGGGATAGAAATTGGGGTGTAATCAGCATATAGATGGGCTATAAAGCCCACAGAACAGGACAGGATGAGATCACTTGGAAAGAAACTAGAGTAGAGGGCTGAGGCCTGAGCCCTGGGACATGCCAATATTGATGGGATGAGAAGAGGAACAGGAAGTGGCAGGAAAGGGTGGGAGGGAGCATCCAGAGAGGTAGGAGGATATCCAGGAGAGTGTAGGGGTCACAGAAACCGAGAGAAGAGAGTATGTTCTGGAAGGGACGCAATAACTGTTAAATGCTGCTGAAGACTAAATAAGAAAACTGACAACTGGATTTAGCAAGACAGAAGTACATCAATAAAGAAATAAGGTGGGGAAAAATGTGTTATTTGATCTTAGTCAACCTATCTCCTTTGAAGTTAAAAATATATATAAGGTACAGTCTCAGCAGAATTACTGAGCTATGCTGATTTATCAGGCTAAGTACATTTTGACTTTCTCTTCTCAAAGGAAGAGCAAGGGATTCAATGAGTTTTCTGTTCCTATTCCCCGGGGAGAGGAGCCTTACTTGGCGATAACGTGGTGGTATTTAGAGTTTACATGGCACAAAGAGCAGCTCAGCCCACAAGAGACTAGAAGTTTACTTCCCCACTTGATAGTGATTTATCAAACTCCTAACACTGTCCTGTTTAAACCTACCCTAAGCTAAAAGTTCCTTTATCCAACCCAAGGGCCCAAGTGAGAGGATGACATGCCAGCAGGAGGGACCTCATCCCAGCACGACATGTTCTTTTCCAAGGCCACGAGTATTTCATTCGCAGGACTCCAGCCTGCACCCCACTCATGATATCACTGAGGACAAAGCTCAAAAAAGGGATTGGAGGCTGGCCCACAGCTGTGCCGTTTGTCTCTGCATCTCCTCCTCATTTCCTGCCCCTTACCTGGGTCATTTTGTCCACAGAGACTGGAATTCCGTCGATGGTGAGAGGCGGCAGCTCAGAGTTAACCTCTTGTGGTGCGGGGGCGTGTTCTGCCAGGGCTGACTCCAGGTCCTCCAGGATCATGCTCTTGTACTTACGCACCTGCAGGGAATTAAGGACAGAAGTAAACAAGATGCCCGACAACCAGGGAGGGTTGGTGCCAGGCAACCAGAGAGTGAGTGGGGCTGGCCGCCCTGAGCCACTGCAGAGCCTAAAGGACAAACACTTCTACCACCAGCAGATAAAAATGCCCGCTGGCCCCAAAGACATCACACTAAATGGAATTAAATTAAAAGATGATGAAATTACAGGTAACCACAGAGGAAAGGAGCCAGTGGAAAAAGTTTTATAGAAACACTGCTTCTGAGTTAGAATCAAGCTTTTCCGGTGAGTGCTGGTCCGCCACCTACTCCAGATCTAGCAGCAATGCATTCAGTACTCTTTGGCACTTCCCAGGCCATATGAGGTGCACCTGGCTGTGGCAGTTAATCACCAAAATCATTTTCAAGATCCTACGGACTTAGGTCTCTCAAACTCTAAGAAGCCTAGTCCAGACTGTGCTACTTTCTCGCAAAGCCAGACTATCAAACAGAGGGGAGATTCAAGTGCACAAGAGGCTGGACTGAGAGGAATGAGAACAAACATGACATGTATATTGTAGCTGGGGTCAAAGGTGCTGCTATCATGAGGGCCTGGGGCAGACAGAGTCCCAGGAGGCAAAGCCTCCTCCCTCTGGTACTTCCTGGTGACAGAGGGGAGCGTGAAGCTCATGATGCCTCGTATCTCTGACAACCAAAGGCATGAACTAGATATTGTTGCTCTGTGGCTCCATTCCCCTCCACTAGCAGTGAAGCGTGTCTCAAAGACAGAGAACTTAAGAGCAGCACATCTGTACACGCACACATTCTTCCATCATGGGCAGACAGGGTAGAGAGACACTGGATCCTACAACCACCAATAATGGGCTCATCCACTTAGAAGAATACACAAGGGGGATGAGGACACCTTTGGGGATAACAAAGAAGCCACAGGGTTATGGAAATGTGACAAGATGGGATAGGAAATTAACTTGCTTTCAGGGCTCAAGACATTATCTTAGGAAAAAAGGAAAGAGAAAATGAGGTTTCACTGGAGTTATGACAATGTTTGAGTCCAGGGTTTCCTGCTAAGTGGACTGGACTCTCAATCAAGACACATATCCTTGTAAGTATCTCATTATGAGGAGTAAAAGAGAAAGATTCCTATACCCCATTCCGTTGAGTCGATTCCAATTCATAGCGACCCTACAAGATAGAGTAGAACTGCCCCATAGGGTTTCCAAGGTTGTGCTCTTTACGGAAGCAGACTGCCACATCTTTCTCCCACGCAGCACCTGGTGTGTTCCAACTGCTGCCCTTTTGGTTAGCAGCTGAGCGCTTAACCACTGCGCCATCAGGGCTCCTTAAGATTCTTATAATCCACCCCAATGTCTGGAAAAGTAAAAATTATTGTTGGCTATGTAGTACTACTTCTTCAGTTACACAGGTCAACAAGTAAGAGGATAAAAGAAAAACAGTGCAAACTTGTAGAATCATCACTCTACAGATTCTGTTTTATCCTGGTTTCTAACACAAACAGGAAGTTTTAAAATTACTGCCTTTATATTTATTGTAATAAAGCAGCTGGTATTGCCATGGCAACTTTACAGGATTATGTCTTCTGCTTTCTAGGTTTCTGTATTCTATGCAGTGTTTTTAATCTTCCAACCCACAGAGAAACCGAATCTTAGAAGCCTAGGTTCTGGTCTCCAAACTTTAGTTAATGTAACAGGTTAAATCATTATAGTAGTGTGTAGGTCCACAGTTAATACTTAATGACAATATTATAAAAACTTCACTGTTCTGGAAACACCTGCCATTCAAAAGCATCAGGTTATTACTATCACACAATTAGCGAGTTTCAAACAACTTCAGCCATTTTCACAGGTTAGCAAAACTCTAGGAATTCATATCCAGGTACTTAGCTAAACTTATCAGTACTAAAATTCCTTAAATGTATCTTGAGTTTAAAAAAAAAAAGCTGGTACAATATCCCTAATAGCAATGGGCAACAAAACAACTTCAGCTGTGACCACAGCATTTCTAAGTTTACTTAGTTAAGTAACTTTTCCCAAATTATAAAACTAGCATTTCAGTTTCATCTGATCTATCAATTCTGAGATGGATTTTTTCCCCACATTTTCAATTCTCTGAAATTGGGATACATCTTAAAATTGCTGTGGACCAGCCCACAGTTGGGGCCTAGCTGTCACTGCTGGAATATATGCAAACATGGCTGTTATCCCTGGGGGTATGACTCCAACCCCTTGCCTTTTTAGACAACAAACTATTCAGCACCACTTGAGAAAGGATTGTGAGTCTTGGCTGTTTGTCTGATAACACTCCCAAAGACGCTTTCTTGTAAAAGCAAGACGCACAGTATCAAACTTGCCGCAGCTTGGAAAAAAAATCTCAGTGACAACAGCAGAGAACAATGATGACTCTGAAACAAGAAGTATATATTTCAGAAGTGTTGAGTGTTGGACTCTGAATGTAAAGATGTTTTAGCAATATCTTAATTTATTTCACTACATCTTCCTTCTTATGCATACAGAAAAATGATACATGATAAAAATCTCAGTAAGCCTGAAAGAGCTCTTCCAGTAAGTATAAAATAAAAATTCTAAGTGATAAGAAAGTGTTGCGTCAGTCTGTCAATATTTTTTTCCTTCATGGTACATAAAATAATGGTGCATCTTATAACTGACAGTGTCACAGATATGATGAAATACAGGTTTGTTTTCCAACTTCTGCCTCTACTCCAAAACCCACAGCTCAAGCCTTTATCACTTCACACCAGTACGTCACTGTCAACTAACTGGTTTCACAAATGAAGTTAAAAATCGCTCAAAAACAAAATCAGCTGGTCTGCCTATAATCTCTCTTGCCTTCAATTCATTGTGTGTATTACTGCCATTTGAAATTTTCCAAAATACTGACGACTTATCAACAGCTACCATCTACTGAGCACTCACTGTGCTCCAAGCACTACAGGCATTATCTCACTTAATCCTCACAATAATTCTGTAACAAAAATACTATTACACCCATTTTGCAGATAAGAAAACTAAGGCTTACTTAATAAATGTAACTTTCCCCAAATCATATAGCTAGTAAGGAGTATCGCTGGGAATCAAACTAATTTTTATCTAGTCTTAAGGCTCATATGTTCAGCCACACCAATATCATTTATCTTTTTTTCCCCTCAAGAAAACTCCTACAGCTCCCCGCTTCTCATAGGATGAAGTTCAAGCTTCTCAGCCTGGCATTTCAACTTTTCCAATAATTCTCTACTCTGTCACCAGGGCTACCAGATATAGTTGTGAAGGTTGCGCCTGCCCAACCCTATAGACTATGTGAATGGCTCCCTCTTGAGCTCCCACTATACAGCCCATGGAGTCCTACTGGACAACTCTGCTCACTACCTTCCTCTCTCTTTAGCTGGCCTGTCTCCTCATTAACCTTTGCATCAAGTAAGTTCTTTCCTGCGTCTGGGTCTTTATTCTGCTTCCTCTTATTATCCATCTTTCAAAGACGAACTGAGAAGACTTCCCAAGTGTTCTCACCATAATTCTCTTCCTTCTTTAAACTCCTACAGACTAAAATAATCATTGTGTCACTTACATGGTTATTTCCAGGTTTCACTGTACACAACCAGTAGGTGGAATCAGATCTGTTGTTTATTATTTATTTTTTACATATGTAACAAAATATTTCACATATTCAGAAATACGTAGATAATAAGTTAACAAATATTCTCATAATTACCAGAGATGGAGGGTTTAGGGTGTCTATAGGAGCCATTAAAGTTCTGGGCACGGAATGTGCCTGTTGAAGATTTAGGAATTGGCTGGTAGAACCGTAAGGTTGACGGGCCTTTCTAAGCAGGGCTTCAAACCGGTTCATTCCAGTTTGAACCCCTGCTGAGAATTTGCATTTCCACCCCACATATACTGAATCAGAATCTACATTTTAACAAGTGATTCATATGCATAATAAATTTTGAGAACCACTGCTCTACTAGTGGTTCTCAGAAATGGTCCCTGACCAGCAGCATTAGCATCACCTGGGAACTTGTAAGAAATGCAAATTCTCAGCAAGCGTTCAAACCCTGTTTCTAAGTCAGGTTGCAAAAACACTGCCAGACAAGATACCATAATTCCTTTGTATTCCTGAAGCTTTTCTACATAAAAGAGTCTTCAAGAAGTTCCCATAGAAGACAAAAAATATAATTTTACCTATGAGTTCCTCTAAGACTGAAAATATATTGTCATCTGAAGTATCTAACAAAGAGATGCCCAGCACAGAGCCACTCTTGGAGCTGTGACTCTGAAGCACACTTGGCCCCAAGCCAGGCCACAGGCTGTGGCCCATGAAGTTGTATTGGCTTCATCCTATTCGCTCTCCAGCCCCAGTGTCAGCCTCCTTTTCCTTTCTAGCCTCAGTTCAGATTTCTAGTTGTTTTGTTTTTTCCCCAGGCCCCTAGTTGTGAACATTGAAACCTCAGAGAGCTTAGCTAGATCCTTATCTCATACTTTATATCTGACAATGTTAGTTATTTTTTAAATAAACAAATAAACAAGCAATAAGGCTTACTTTATTACTTTTTAAATATGGTTCCACATTTCTTAACTTGAAGCCATTTTTTAAAAGCCTATATAAATAAATGAATGACTTAGAACAAGAAATCAATACCAACTACAGAGTCCATTCAATCTACTGGGAAGGTGGAATTACACAAAGGCAGAATTCAACAAAGACTTTCAAAGAAGCTAGGTGATAACCCTGGAGCTACCTCTGCCTCTGTGGCTGTGAATAATTTCTGTACCTGTAGAACTGGTTAGTCATATCCAGTGTATCCCCATCGAAATGCTATGGATTATTGACTCTGAGGAAAGAGCTCCACCTTCAGAAACTCCCATGGTTCTTCTGAAAAAAAGATGGAAATTGTCTCTGTGTCCCTCAACAAAATATTCCCAGCCTACTTCTTTCTACAAAGCTCACAGAAGTGTATGATATGGCAGCAAGCCACCAAGAGAATGCCCTCAAGGCACGGCAACTTTAAAATCTACCACTCGCCAACACTCCTCATGCCAGCTCTGCCTAAACATCATAAATAGGAGATGATCACCAACTTTAATTTCTACTGCTCCCCAGTGAGGCAGGTATTATCATTCTTAGTTTATGCATGAGGACATCGAGCTACAGACAGGAAAAATCAATGTGGGGAGCCATTCCAAAAATTAAAGCGTAAAAATTGTTTTCACAAAAGTAGAGTTTTTAACTCCATATGCCCACTAAGTGAACACCAACTCTGTGGGTCAGGACTGAATTAGCTTGCCTAAATGTTGATAACTCTATGTTTACTATGGGAGCCAAGCCTTCACTAGGATTGATACTCAAAAGGACCAAAACACTCAGTAGGTCTTTAACTTGCTTTGTTTTAAAGACCAGACGCTTAAAGAGGCAAAGGTTTTAAACTTCAGAGGACATTAGATCTGAAGGTAGTGGATCCCATGCAACTTAGAGAAACTTTGAGTTTCTGGGTAAGAGATTCTCATTCTCCATCATAGGGAAAGGCTCTTTCTCAAAGGTAACCTAGTTTTGACTTCTTTCTCATTACCTGATGTTACAAATATAGACAACATATGTAACCTATGAACCTGGTAGCTCCTCCATCCAGCCATCCAGCCTACAAACATTTATTATTCATCTACTGTATGCTAGGCACTGACCTAAGGAAGGGCTAGAACAAAATGGTGAGCAAATGTACCAGTCTCAGTGTCCATTATTGTGCATATTCCAATCTAGTGCAGAAGAACACAAAAATGTGTAAAACTGGGATGTGTGCTATAAAGGATGATACAACACAACTTCACAGATTTTTACTTTTCAAGCTCTCAACTTAGATCCAATGTAGGATTTGGATTTAGAATCCAAATCTGCACTTAAAAAATTTCTGAATGCTGCCAAACATGTAAGATGCTTTATTCATTCAACAAATATTACCAAGTAACTACCAGTTGCACTGTGCTTGGCACTGGGAGATAATGAGAAAAACCAGATCCAGTCCCTGCCCTCTTGGAGCTTACACTCTAGCTGGGGACAGACATCAATCAAATATCACACAGATAATGTGAAACTACATTTGTGAGAAATGGTCAAAATCGTGAGAGTTTAGAATAGAATGGGGGGCTCTGACCTAGTCAGGGAGGTCAAAGAAGGCTTTACAGAGGTAATGTCAACTGAACTGAGATCTTAAACATGACTAAGGGTTAATAAGGTGAAGAAGTAGGTGAGGGAGAGCAAATCGAATCTCTGTAAGGGCAGAAGCAGAGTTTGTGCAAAGTGTTGAAGAGAGTCTCTTGCGGCTGGAATGGAGAGAAAAGTGAGGGAGTGGAGCAAAATGAGGCTGGAGACCACAACTTTAGAAGAGTGGACCAGTGCTAAGAAAATGAGATGAAATTTGAAAGCCCACAGTCAATACTCTGGACAAGGCTATGGGAAATGTAATACTCTTATCACGCTGAGGGCAATCCCTACTGTGGCTAAACCTTGGCTCTGCTATTCACAAGTTGGGGGATCTTGGGCAAATCACTAAACCTCTCTGAATTAGCTTGCCTAAATGTTGATAACTCTATGTTTACTATGGGAGCCAAGCCTTCACTAGGATTGATACTCAAAAGGACCAAAACAAATGAAAATAATAACAACAGTATACCTACTTCTCAAGAGTTATTGTCTGAATTTATTGAGAATATATGTTCAAAATTTATAAATGTGCTGTTGTTGTTGGTTGTTGTTAGGTGTCATCGAGTCGGTTCCAACTCATAGCCACTCTAGGTACGACAGAATGAACACTGCCCAGTCCTGTGCCATTCCCACAATCGTTGTTATGCTTGAGCTCATTGTTGCAACACTGTGTCAATCCATCTCCTTGAGGTTCTTCCTCTTTTTCACTGACCCTCTACTTTACCAAGCATGATGTCCTTCTCCAGGGACTGGTACCATTTATTCTTCCAGCAGTCCATGGTATATTCAATATTCTTCACCATCACCATAATTCAAAGAATATTCAATATCCTTCACCATCACCATCACCATAATTCAAAGGCATCAATTCCTCTTAGGTCTTCCTTATTCATCATCCAGCTTCCACATGCGTATGAGGCGATTGAAAACAACATAGCTTCGGTCAGGAACACCTTAGTCCTTAAAGTGATGCTTTTTAACACTTTAAAGAGGTCTTTTCAAGTAGATTTGCCCAATGCAATGCGTCATTTAATTTTTTGACTGCTGCCTCCGTGGTTGTTGAGTGTGAATCCAAGTAAAATAAAATCCTTTGCAACATCAGTAGTTTCTCCGTTTATCATGATATTGCTTACTGGTCCAGTTGTGAGGATTTCTGTTTTATGTTGAGGTGTAATCCATGCTGGAGGCTGTGGTCTTTGATACTCATCAGTAAATGCTTCAAGTCCTCTTCCCTTTCACCAAGCAAGGTTGTGTCATCTGCTTATTACAGGCTGTTAATGAGTCTTTCTCCAATTCTGATGCCCTCTTCTTCTTCATATAGTCCAGCTTCTCCAATTATTTGCTCAGCATACAAATTAAATAGGTATGATGAAAGGATACAACCCTGACACACACCTTTCCTGACTTCGAACCAGACAGTATCCCCTTGTTCTATCTGAACAAGTGCCTCTTGCTCTATGTACAGGTTCATCACGAGCACAATTAAGTGTTCTGGAATTCCTTTTCTTGGCAAATGTTATCCATAATTTGTTATGTACACAGTCAAATGCCTTTGCATAGTCAATAAAACACAGGTGAACATTTTTTTTGGTATTCTCTGCTTTCAGCCAGGATCCGTCTGACTTTCAGCAATGATATTCCTTGTTACATGTCCTCTTCTGAATCCTGCTTGAATTTCTGGCAGTTCCCTGTTGATGTATTGCTGCAACTGCTTTTGAATGATCTTCAGCAAAATTTTACTTCTGTGTGATATTAATGGTATTGTTCAATAACTTCCATATTCTGTCGGATCCTCTTTCTTTGGAATGGGTATAAATACGGATCTCTTCCAGTTCGTTGAAGTCAGGCAGTTGTCTTCCAAGTTTCTTGGCACAGACAAGTAAGCACTTCCAGCATTGCATCTGTTTGTTGAAACATCTCAATTGGTATTCCGTCAATTCCTGGAGCCTTGTTTAACACCAATGCCCTCAGTGCAGCTTGGACTTCTTCCTTCAGTACCATTAGTTCTTGATCATATGCTACCTCCTGAAATGGCTGAATGTTGACCAATTCTTTTTGGTATAGTGACTCTGTGTATTCCTTTCATCTTCTCTTGATACTTCCCGTATCGTTTAAAATTTTCCCCGTAGAATCCTTCAATACTGCAACTCGAGGCTTGAATCTTTTCTTCAGTTCTTTCTGCCTGAGAAATGTCAAGCGTGTTCTTCACTTTTGGTTTCCTATCTCCAGGTCTTTGCACATTTCACTATAATACTTTGTCTTCTTGAGCCACCCTTTGAAATCTTCTGTTCAGCTCTTTTGACTTCGTTTCTTCCTTTCACTTTAGCTACTCGATGTTCAAGAACAAATTTCAGAATCTCTTCTGATATCTATTTTGGTCTTTTCTTTCTTTCCTGTCTTTTTAATGACCTCTTGTTTTCCTCATGTATGATGTCCTTGATGTCATTACACAACTCGTCTGGTCTTCGGTCATTAGTGTTCAACGCATCAAATCTATTTTTGAGACGGTCTCTAAATTCAGGTGAGATACACTTAAGGTCATATTTTGGCTCTTATGGACTTGTTCTAATTTTCTTCAACTTCAACTTAAGCTTGCTTATGAGCAATTGATGATCTGTTCCACAGTCAGCCCCTGGCCTTGATCTGACTGATGATATTGAGCTTTTCCATCATCTCTTTGCATAGATGTAGTCAATTTGACTCGTGCGTATTCCATCTGGCGAGGTCCACGTATATACCGGCCGTTTATGTTGTTGAAAAAAGGTATTTGCAATGAAGAAGTCGTTGGTCTTTCAAAATTCAATCTGTAATCTCCCGTGTCCTTTCTATCACCAGTGCGCTAGACTATACAAACGTTAGTACAACAAACTCTGTAATCAACAATTCTATGAACATGTAGAATATGCAAATAATACTTCTAAAACAGGATTAAGTTCTATGTATGGTTCTGTAACCTGCTTTTTTCACTTAATATAGCACCATCTGAAAACACTAATGATGATCTATATCATCACGTTTAATGGCAGTATGGTGGTCCCGTCTATGGGTGAGCCATGGATTTATTTAATCAATCCCTTATCTTTGAACATTCAGTTTATTCTCAAAAAAAAAACAAAACAAAACTATAAACAGCACTGACTAATATCCTTGCACACATATCTTTGCTCATTTAATAAATTACTTCCTTGGGATAAAATTTCAAAAGGAAGCTGGGTTTAAAAGTGTATATCTTAGGCACTTTTTATTCCAGTTGCCAACCTGCCCTCCAGAAAATTACAATACAATTTAAACTGCCTGTTTGTCACACCATCATTGCAGGTTATACAGCTTTTCCACATCTGCCAATACGGCTTTTTGTTTCAACTCATATTTCTTTGAAATTTTTTATATGCTTGTTAACAAACATGTATGTTAGTTGTGTATGCTGATGTAATTACTTTATCTGACATCTATACACACACACCTCTTTTTTTGGCTGAACCATTTAAAGCATATTTTGCAGACATCATGACGTTTTACTTGGATGAGGAGCGGGTAGAGTGATAACTATTATGCCAGACAGAGGATGAGAAGCATGTGAACCATAACCTACAGAACACAAAGGGTATCTGAGAACATAGCTCATTTCTACTAACCACATTCTCCAAAGGTGCTGCACCAAACACTTTAAAGACAGGGTTCGGTTTGGAGGGTGAGATACAGAGGACAATAGCTTGCTGTCCCACTCGAGTAGTATATTCATCTAACGTGGCTCGGAGTTTCCTGAATAAGAGAATGCAAAGAGAATAAAAAACTGTTGAAGAATATAAAAATTATAGTGACGTAGACACAGATAAAATATACTTTGACTTGAGAAAATTTATTTTGATTAGATGCTTTCTTTTACCCTAAATGTGAAAAAAGAAGTGTAAGGTTTGATATCCTTTCAGCAGAAATATATATATGCCCTTCTCTTATAGGCCAATGACAATTTTATGCTATGTGTAATTTACCACAATTAAAAAACAAAAACAATGACTAGCCCTTTGATATATGGGTCTACTGAGGGTTTGCCTTGGGACATAGCCATGACAGAATGCTGAGTATCATCCTTCTTGATCTTAACAACACCAAAGGGGTTTTCTCTTACTGCGACTTATAATAACAAAGATTACTGCTGAGACCTCCTCCTATAGGCTTTATTACATCATTCCCATGTTTAATGAAAGGGGCTCGAATGACTTGTTTCTAATTTCTTTGATTGATATAGTCATTGTTTATGTCTCATTGACATAATTTTATCCAAAATGCTAGTTTAAAAATATTTTAGCTTCCAGGTCTTCTTTGTGTTGTAAACAATATCTAATTCTCAGTCCTGCAGTGTTTTACAAATGAAGACGGGGTGAAAAAGGCTTTTTAAATATATCAACACTGGATGAAGCAGAAATGCTGTGCATTTCCTCTGAAATCATGGGAGATTATTTTAAAGTTCTATGTTATGTTACGTAAGTCTTCTGGGAAGACAGTCTACCCTTTCAAAGGACTGGTGGGTCTTGCCAATTCAAGTGAAGAAAAGCCAATGTATCTAAATGAATGTTTTCTTTCCTTCTCCAAAAGTATGTACTTTTGTGTTTGTGCCCTTATAGCAATAATATTTCTACAAATAGCAATGGTATTTCTACAAATAGCACACTCTAGTTCCTCCTGCCCATATCATCATTAGAGGAAATGGGAAACACTGCTCATCTAGTGATATATAACTTCTTTGTATGCTGCATGTTACTAGTAAATACTTTTAGGTTTTTCCTCTCTAGGTGAAATCACTTCAGTTTATGATCTGCTTTTTATATCTTTAATATAGACTTTGTTACATATCATTTATATGGGCTGGCCCTCCATTTGGATATAATATCACAAGATAAATTCAGAAAATTTAGATATAGTATGTAAAATGCTACAAAGAAAAACTTCTAGAACACTTTACAGACTCAGTTTATAATATATGAATGCATGTTATACAACCTGTCAAAATTATAAGTCTTCAATGCACCACACCTGTGAAATCTTTCTGTTGTAAACCTACAAACTCTTTAGAAGAAATGAAAATGAACATGGACCATTTACCAAAAAAAGAGGATTTCCCAGATCACCCCCACAGAAAACAGAAATCACTGTATCTCCTCCACCCCCTGATCCTCCTATTTTCATTAAAACCAAAAAACTTGTTGCCGTCAAGTCAATTCTGACTCATAGAGACTGTCAAGGACAGAGTAGAACTGCCCCATAGGATTTCCAAGGAGTGCATGGTGGGATTCGAACTGCCGACCTTTTGGTTAGCAGCTGTAGCTCTCAACCACTACGCCACCAGGGTTTCCCCTCTTTTCCTTACTCCACTGTATTTTTTTTTCGATAGTACTTATCACCATCTGACATATTACCTGTTTATCTTATTATTCCCTCCACTAGAACATAAGATCTTTAAGGGACTTTATTTGTTCACCATTATATTCTCAATGCCTGGCACACAGCAGGCATACAAATTTTCTCTGGATGAATTAATGTGATATTATACATCGGTTAAATCCTGTTTCTAGGTTTTTATCCATTTAATTCTGTAAGACTACTCTGAAGTTTAATTCTGTCATCAAGGAATTCAACTTGGTGTCCCTGATGAACCTCACAGCATATGTTCTGTCATCAGCACATGATGTATATGAGGAATAGCAATGACACGGGTAAGGGAGCCCTCACCGAAGCAAGCGTGTTTGCTGTCTCTTCCGGATAGATGGATTAGACTCAAACACGTGAGGCCGTTTCCTTTTCTTTCCTGTTGCCACAGCAGCAGCAGCAGCCATTCCCACAGGACCTGAAATAATAATAGATGTGCTGAGAGTTGGCGGAAGCCTGTTAACTGTAAAAGACAGAAAACAACTTAAAGGTGCAATATGCCGTCAATAAATATAGGCTGTTCTTGATCTTACAAGCATATTTCACCACTGTTCAACATGAATCATATTTTAATTGACCAATAAAACTTACAATGGGTCTTTATAAAAAGTGAATGACTTACACCTCCCCACCACACATCAGCTTGAATTTTGTATAATGTTGTTTTTTGTTGCTTTTTATATGTTTTTGTTTTGCCAGCATGTCCGTACTATTAAGGCAGTATTCTCAGAGGTGCTAGGAGAAGTTGCAGCATTGGAGAAAGAGTCTGCCAAAACTGAAAAAAATTACAGATTCAAATTTCGTTTCCATCCCTGTGCTCTTTTCCTTACTCCAAGACCCTGCCAAGTTAAGCAAGTCAGAGGCAAACACTCATAACAGACAGTCCAACAGTAACAACAACGTTAAGAGAAATATCTGAAAGAACACCATTTAATCGGGAAAATTTTTCTTGAGTACCTGGGAATTGTGCCAAAAATGGAGATGATCACCACAAGGTCAAACTGATGAAAGCATCTTGGCAGGAAAGAGATGAAAACTTTCCCACTCCAAGGAGAAAATGGTAATAAAGGCTCGTCTGGCTTACCCCTGAAACTAATGGCTGAAATGAAGGGTAGGCCCTAAGGAACTACTGGAGTCTCTGGTTCCTGGGATCTCCCCAGATCAAGGACATTCCTTTTTTATTTTTTAAAACAGATATTCCACCTTCAACCTTATTTGAAAATCCTGTAAAAGGATTAAGTGAAAATTAAGTTGAATTGCTCACATTTGTGCTGGTATAGATGTTCTAAGTGGCTCAATCAAAATAAGCCTCCAGTGCAGAGCCACCATTACTGAATATTTTGAGCAAAATTCTATCTAAGAATCCTGATCAAAAGGGTGGAAATGTAGAACAGAATTTCAAATTCTCATGGAATACAGACCTTACGGAGCCACAGAGTTGGATGAACCCCCCAAAACTATTGCCGAGATCATCTTTAAACCTTAAGCCAAAAATATCCCCTCGTTATTTTATTTCGTGCACTCGCTTTCTGAAATTATTTAACCTTAATATTTGTACCCCTCCTCACCCCGCCAACTGGACTACAAGCTCTGTCATGCGCAAGCTCTTGCCTGTCTTGTTCACAGGATCTCAGAACAATCCCTGTTGTACAGTAATCCCTTGGTAAATAATTGTTGAATGATTAAATTGTAAATAATTTCTACCAGCAGGGCCTCAGTTTCCACATCTATCACATGAAGGGGTTGGACTAAAGCCCCTTCCTGATCTAACACTGTGATACTGAAGTACAGGAATACAGCAAAGCCACGTCCCAAAGCAGCTTCTTTCCTAGGAAGGTTGGCTTGGATTCATTATGTTAGGATGCCCTCTACTGGGAAGCATGAGAATTTCACAAAATATATTTTACAAACATTTCAAACTGTCTTTATTTTTAAATTCATTATTCCAGAAATATGTAACGGATAACTGACAGTGATAAGGTCATCCTTCATTGACTCTGTCTTCCTCCCCTAAGTACAGCATATACTAAAAAATATAGTATTTTGGCCATTTTTGATAATTAGATTTCCTGTCAGCTTTTCCAAAATATCTTGTAAGATCGATACTCCTTACTCAAGAAGTTGAACAGGCAAAAAAAAATTCCTTACACAATCCTAGACACCTGGGCATGATTTACACAAAGTCTTCTCACCATGGTGTGAAACATACTCTGTAACTAGCAAAGACAATAATGCAAAATATTCTGCAGTAGGAGAGGGCTTTTAAAATTCTTTTTATTTTTATTCATAGAACTATGATAGAACTATGGAAAAGGACATCACAGTTGATCTACTGTACCCATTTAGAAGTGTCTTCATTTTTAAAACAAACGTTTACTGAGTAACCAAGTGTTGGGGAACTATATTCATCTCTTATTAGAGATAAGAATGAAGCACAGACGTTCTAAACCAGAAATCAGGACATGTCGTCTAAGAAGTATAATTATACTGGTGGTGGAGGGAGTGATGAAAAATGGCAGAGTGTTTAAAAACTGGACTTCTCCAGGAAAATCTAGTGTGTCTGGTTAACTGGGTATATGTGATATAAACACAGTATAGCTCCTGGGGTAACCTCTGCTCCAGAGCAATTTATTATTTAGGTCAACTCGTCTCAAATAAATACTAAAAGTGCCCTCATAATTTATTACAGAGTCTATGCCATTATCTAAAATCATTCTAATACTTAATCCTGCTTCCTTCAAGGTCCTTCCATCTATTAGCAACCTTTTTTAGAACTTTAAAGTCTCAGCTCAGGAAGAAAAAAACAAACTGTTTCTTCTGTGACTGAAAGGATTTGCATTCACTCTGAATTTGGAGAAGGAAATGAACTGATTGCTAAGAAACAGTTCTTTAGACTGGGTCAGCCATGGAAGTTAGAAGATTTCTTAGACTGAGATTAAGATTCTGCTTTTCTGAACAAAAGCCCACTCCAAAATTCAAAATGAAGGTCAATTACTATAAGGAGCATTTCTGTTCTTGCAGAGATTAAGCCAAAAGTCAACCTAGGTAAACTATGACCATAAGTCTTACTCAAAGAAATCACAGATTTTTAAAATCAAAAGATTTCTCACACATCATCTCACCAATATCGTTCAAACTGTGGGTCACGAAATCAGTTTAGGGATTATAACCAGAAATTTTTTAATGAGATAGAACTGAAAATATCATAGTGCATCTATCATACATAAGAAAGATAAATACTGCTCTGTGAAAAACTTGTTTTAGATGTGCTTTGCCACTCAATTTCAGTTTTTTAAGTCTGTATGTGTATACTAAGTTGTGATGCAAGATACATTTCTTATTATGGGTCACAATTTTTAAAAGTTTGAGAAACACAGACCCAGTCCAATACTTTCATTATAGAGATGAGAAACTTTGTTTAAGTGACTTGACTTCTACTTCTGGTAATGGCAGACTAGGCAGACCAAACTTCCTGCTAAAGACAACTACAAAAGCTGGACAAAAACAAAAAACAAACAGCAAAAATAATCTTTAAAACATCAGAGAACAAACAAGATAGTAAGCAATCATCAGGCCAAGATCCAGAAACGAGTCAGGCATTTGAGCTGTTTTTGCTTCAGGCTATCTGTCATCCAGAAGGTCAGCTGAGCAGCACTTTGTCAGTCTTGAGGGATCAGATGGACAAAAGTTAGATTGCAGGTTTGTGGAAACCCTGGTAAACTATCGTGTTTAAAGGTGAGAACCATAACTGACTGCACACTGGCAACGAGGTGAACTAAATCAGACTTTCCATGGAATACAGCCCAGCTTTAAGTCATTTAGTGGCCCAGAAAATTCCAAGACCTTATATTAGGTTAAGATGATCCCGTATTGTTAGTGTCCTCAGGCATCTGGCAGAAACAAACAAAAATTCCCTCTAGAGGAAGATAACATTATCTTAGACCCCAAAACACCATCCAGGATTCATTCAAATATAACCAGTGCATGTGGAAAAAGCCAACATGAACAAGAATAGCACTAACAACATAGAAACAGACTCACAAGTACTTCAGAGAACAGAATTGCCAGATGGGTTGTAAATCATAATGCTTGCTTTATTCGAGGTTGTTTTTTTTAATTTCTTTTCCCACCACAACTAGAACCAGTTACAGTGCAAATGTGAGGTGGGGGATACTAGAATTTCTAAAACTTAAGGGGGAAACCGCCCCCCAAATTATAGCCTATTACCAAAATTAGTAACTCAATGGACAGATTTTAAAAAGTTTAGACACGGCTGAAGAGAAAACCAATAAACTGGAACACAGAAGAAACTACACAGAATGAAGTAAAAAGAGACAAAAAATGTAAGTACAGAATAAAGGGTAAGAGATATAAAGGATTCGGTGAGGAAGATTAACATATTCAATGTGAGTCACAGAATGAAAAGAGCTAGGATGGAGCAGAAGCAAAACCTGAAAGTTAATGGCTAAGATTTTCCAGAACTGATGAAAGACATCAATTCATAGATTCACGCTGTCCAAATAATCCTAAACAGAATAAAGAAGAAACCCATAGCCAGATATATCACAAAAATTAAACACAGAGAAAATCTTAAAAGTAGTTGTGGGGGAGCGATTTATGTTGGGAAATAACCTTCAAAGGAGCAACTATTAGAATGAAACAGCTGACTTCTCAACAGCAAGAATGGAAACCAAAAAACAGTGGAACAGTATCTATAATATGAGGAAAGAAATTAATTGCCAATCTAGAATTCTATACCTCGTGAAAGCACCCTTCAAGATTGAAGGTTACCAGACTTAATGGTCTGACTAATACTGGAGGAACCCTGGAAAGCATGGCTCCTGGATTCTCTATCAGCCCAGAACTAAAACAATTTCTGAGGCCAACTCTTCAGACAGGGATTAGACTGGACCGTGGGACATAAAGTGATACTCGTGAGGAGTGTGCCTCTTAGCTCAAGCAGATACAAGAGACTAAACAGGCAACTTCTGTCCGGAGGTGAGATGGGAAGGCATAGAGGGTTAGGAGCTGGTTGAACAGTCATGGGGAATCAAGGGTGGAAAGGAGGGGTGTGCTGACACAGTATGGGGAGAGCAATTAGGGTCACATAACAATGTATCTATAAATTTTTGTATGGGGGAAAAAAAGATCAAAGGTTAAATAAAAACATTCTCAGACAAACAAAAACTGAGAGAATCTGTTACTAGCAGATCCATGCTGAAGTTAATACTAAATGATGTCTTTAGGCAGAAGAAAAACTCCTCAGAAGACAGGCTGAAGATACAAAAAAAAAAAAAAAAAAAAAAGAACACTAACTATGTATAAAACAAAATAATGTTTTATGGGGTTCAAAATATACATAAAATAAATACACAGGACAATAATTAGCATATAGGTCAGAGTGAGGGATAAAATTCAAGTATTCTAAGACACTTGTCCAAACCAAAAAACCCATTGCCATTGAGTTGACTCTTAGTCACTGCAACCTACAGGACAGAGGACAACTGCCCGTTAGGGTTTTCAAGGCTGTAAATCATTACGGAAGTAGACTGTCACATCTTTCTCCCGCGGAGTGGCTGGTGGGTTCGAACCAATGACCTTTCGGTTTGCAGTCAAGTGCCTAACCACTGTACCACTAGAGCTCCCTGTATTGTCTAGGAAGAAGATGAAAGTAACAATCATATGAGACTTTGATAAGTAAAGGACATATGCTATAATTTCTAGGGGTATCACTAACAGCAAAAGTGAATGTAACTTCCAACAAGAAGTTTCTTTATATCAACAAAAGAAAAAATACAAACTTCTCAATCATTCCAAAAGAATAAATGAAGGAAAAGTAAACACAGAACAGACAGGAGGGACAAAATGTACATCATAAAGATGGTAAATTTAAACCTAAATATATCAGTAATTATATTTAACATAAACAGATTAAATGCTTCAGTTAAAAGTGAAAAGATTATTGGAATGGATGAAAAAACAAAACTAAAGTCATAACACTAATACTAAATGATTCTTGAACTGAAATCTCAGTACAATAGAGGTTCAAGTTATACACGCAAGGCTTGAAAAAAAATTGTGACGAAAATCAATGTGAGATTGCCTGAATCCTAGGTTCTTTCAGATATGTATGGTACTATAAGTTAAGTGGAGCCCTGGTGGCAAAGTGGTTAAGAGCTCAGGCTACTAACCAAAGGGCGGCACTTCAAATCCACCAGCCGCTCCCTGGAAACCCTATGGGGCAGTTCTCCTCTGTCCTGTAGGGTCGCTATGAGTCGGCATCGACTTGACAGCTCACAACAGCATAAGTTAAGCAAAAAATAAACAGCTTCCAACCCAAGTGACATTACCTGCAGCGGCCAGATGGGCTGTTACCTCATCAGCTGCTGTGGAGTTGAGTATGTCTGAATCATCATAAGAGGTGTCCTCGGGAGAAGAAGGCGAGTCCTCATCAGCACTCAGCATACTGTGTTCAGTATAGGTGGCCACATGGACCTGCTGTACTTGTTGGGCCACTGCATGGGCTTCTATGGTAGCCATGTGTTCAGTCTGGGTCACTGCGTGTTCCTCCATGAAGATCTAGTGTCAGAAAAAAAGGCAAAGAACAGCAAGAGAACAGGACTTAGTGTATAAAGTAAAACAATGCTCAAATTAAGAGATATTTTCCTCAAGAGCAGAATAACTTTGACAAGCCTCTGATTTCACTACATACCTCATTGTACCACGTCATAGGAAATGGGAGGAAACATCCAAATGTGATATAGAAATGGAATATTTTCCTTTTGTGAATCCATTCTGATGGGAATTAACTGTATTAATTTTATACCTCAGGTCACAAAACAATAAATATCTTTGATATGACATATAACAATAAAAAGATATTTAAAAATAACAATAAAGACATTAAAACGTCCCAGTGACTAGCATTTGACATTGTGAACATAAAAACACTTAGTAAGTAAATAGGTGAAATACTTAACATTTTCTTTGTATTTCTTTATTTCAAAGACAAATTAAAATGGGAGTTAAATATTTTTTTCCAAAAACGACATTATTCAAATTGTTTTTTTCTGCTTATAGAACTGTGCTTCTTGTAAACCCTAAAACAATGCAGAACTCATAAAGTAGTTAGTTAAAAATTTGTTCTCCTACCACGCATGTAATATACTACAGAGAAATCTGTTATCCTTAAAAAATATTTTTTGGTGCATACACACCTACAGATTTAAAATAAAAACAGGCTCATATTATATATATTGTTCTGTAGTTTGCTTTTTTTCATATCATAATATATCTGGACATTTTGACACATCAAAACGTACAGATCTACCACATCCTTTTTATATAGCTGCAGAATAAATGCTTCATTGTCTGGATCATGCCATAATTTAAGTAACTAGTCACCTTCTGCTACATAGCAAGGCTGCTTCTCATTTTTTGCTATTATAAACATCAGTGCAGTGAACTTCCTTGCATATTGAACATTGCCTACTTACTTATTATTCCTCAGAATAAATTCTTAAAGATGAAATTGCTAGGTCAAAGGGTATACATATTTTAAATTTTGATTCATATTAAAGAGCTAAATGTTTAACTTGCACATTAATATTATCTCCACTTGTATAAAGCCACACACATAAATGTGAAACTTGACTATCATGTAATATCATACAGTACTGCATATCTGGAGTTAAAAACAAAACAAATAGCAACCATATAAGTGTAGAAATATGACCTTCATGGCTACAAGGAAAAAGAACATAATCACCTATTCACGTAAAATCCTTCCCTTGTTTTTTATTCTGCTCTATTGTAAAACTCGCCTTTTCCCTCTTTGAGGACTTCTAAAATCCTTTGTTCCTCCGAGTGACTGCTTTCTTAAGCTTCCTCCTGCTCTTTCTTCTTCGGTTAACTGTTCTCATATAGATGATCACATTTTTATTTTTCTGATGTTCTTGATTTCCTGTTTTATATTCTTGTGCTTTTCTAGTCTTTTTTTCCTGCTCTTACTTTTAACTTTCTCTTTTCACTTTCCTACCCCTCTACAAGTCACAATTCATGCTTCTAACCCAGTGATTCTTACTCTGGGAATATCCCATTATCTCAAGGAGTATTCTGTGTTTCAAGATAAAATTTACTTTAACTACAAAATAAAACCACCACAGGGTGCCACAAATCCAAGAAGATTAGGAATCACTCAGTTAGATTTGAACCCCTTTCCAGGCTTTATTTTCTGCTTGCGGTCATCTCCCCTGTCCTGTCTCTGTGTGGCATATGACCTTCACAAACACAGACCCTTGTTTCCTCAAATGGAGCTTTTTGAGAGGTACCCAGTAAAATAACATATATTTAATAGACAAAAGGATAAAGAAAATGTGGTAAAATGTTAGCATTTGGGAAATCTGTGTGGAGGGCAAGGAACCCTGGTGGCATAGTGGTTAAAGTGCTCTGCTGCTAACTGAAAGGTTCAAACCCACCAGCAGCACCACAGGAGAAAGATGTGGCAGTCTGCTTCCGTAAAGATTTCTAGCCTTAGAAACCCTATGGTGCAGTTCTACTCTGTCCTACAGGTCTCTATGAGTCAGAATTGACTTGATGGCAGTGATTTTGTTTTTTGGTTTGAGTGAAGGGCATATGAGAATTCTTTGCACTATTATTGCAAGTTCTCCATAAATCTGTAATTATACCAAAATGATTTTTTTTTTTAAAGAGAGGTACCTGATATGCTGCCTTAAGGATTTTTCCATATCCTATGTTTGCTGTGAATATCCAAGGGAATATATCCCCCATCCAGATTTGTACATATCTAAGATGCAATTTAATACACTATTTAAATTTCACAATTAAACAATATATGAGAGGAAGGTACCACTAAAATGCTCTTTTTCCATCCATTTCACTGTTCTTCTAGTCTAAGAGACAAACTGCTTTAGGGCATTTTAGAATTCCGGTTACTTCAAAATTGTTTTTAAATGATTTGGGATTAGATGCCATCTAACTGCTTTTCAAAGGGATTTGTACGCTATGCACTTGGCATAATGGATTTGAATTCTCTTCTCCAGGATGCAATTCACAGCATAAATCAATAGGACTGTCTGCTTCACAGGCTTGTCACTCCGGCCCAGTGCCTCATCCCTTCCACCTCCCTCCCCCACCCCATCCTTCAGCCTCTAACCGGGTTTATTCAGCACCCTCTACAGAAAGCAGCGGCAAAGGTACCTCAGACTTCTCTGAACCAGAGTGGGATATTTGCAAATGATGCTGTCAGTGTTTTTATAAGATAAGCAAAAAAACAGGCTGTCTTAAAGCCAGACATGATGACATACACATATTGCTGGAGATCACCACATTCCCCCAAGTCAATTTTTGGAAAGCACTTTATCTTTTATCCATGAGGAGTCAGAGTCTCTGGACAGCAAAACTGACAGGAACTACTAACAGATGAAAACATATTAGATAATCTGAATTTTAAAAACCACCACAGCCTATTAACCAGATATCCAGAACCCCTGGGCAAGTTACTTAACCACTAAGCCTCAATTTCATCTTTTTTGGTTTTTAATGGAGAGAATGACAGTACCTATCCTCACAAGGATGATGTGGGGATTAATGAGAATATCTAGTGCCCCCCACACAAGTGCTCAACATTAATTATTCTGAAGATGATAGGATTTCTATATCTTTATGATTCTGTCTTGACTCATTACCTGATGAGTCTCACAAACAGTGGGCCTCAATTTCTTCATCTTTAAATTAGATATCTATCTCTAAGGACATGGTTGTCTTCATTGGATGCAAGAGATTTGGAGTCAGGCATCTAAAAATCCCTACTTTATTACATTGACTCCAGCAACTGAAATACTGTTCTCCTAGACATAAAATCAGGAAACTATAGGAAACCTATGCCCCTTGCATAATTTCATGGCAGCACACAACACGGAGAGCCAGCACATGGACCTGACAGTGATTTCTCTGAACTGACATAAAAAGTAAGACGAAACCATTGGCAGCATATAACCCGTGACTCTCAACATCGCACCCAAATAAAAGGGCCTATCTAGCTGTCTATCACTCAAACCAGTGGTTCAGCAGATTCGTTAACACAAACACTTCTATTTAAAAAAAAAAAATTCTTAACATGATAATTGTACCAAAACCTCTCTCTTAGCCTGGAACATCACCTAGGGGCTCAATATGTGCTTCACTAATATGTGCTTCATCTAAAGCTCCTTCTTTGTTAAAACTACAAAGCCTTGCGAGGGGTTGGGGGGAGCACCTTGGTACAGAGGGGTGTTCCTACCTTTGCTCTTCTGGGACAGTAAGGGTGGGAATGAATGATAAAGTGGAGAGAACACAGAAAAACAGATATTCTTGTCCCAGAGCACACTGGTAGTTGTAGTCAATACATAGGGATCCAAAGCTAGAGAAAGTTTAGTAGCTCATGAACTACTAAACATGGAAACATGGAAAAATGGTTATGAAATAATGTTACGTGGATATTTCCAAATCCAAAATGGGAAATATACTTTGAGTGCACCTATCTAAAAATATATCTTCAAGTGGACAAGTAAGCTAAAAATTGTGTCATGGTGCAATTGTAATAGGTAATTTTTTCCCAAAATTATAATAATGTCTATCTTTTCCATTTTACTTATTTAGATACTATCTTGTTAAGAAGATTATTTAAGAAGGCTGACTTAATGCTTAAAAATTTTTTAATGATTGAAGAATCTAGTTTAAAGAAATCATCAGAAATGTAGACCAATGTTTATGTAAAGATAATCATTAAGATGTTCTCTGTAGCAATATCTGTAACATCAAAATACTGAAAATAGCCTAAATGTCCAACAATGGGGTAACAGGTAAGAAATGCACATCCATAAGATAAAATATATTTAGGAACACATTTGCACATGGACAGTAAAATGTTAACAGTGGTTATATCTGGGTGGTGGGACTTAAGATGAACATTATTTACTTTAATCTTCTCAGATCTTCCTCGTTTTTCCTCAGTGGAAATTGACTGTTTTTACAATCAGAAAAAAAAATCTATTTAAAGAAATGCTAGCAATTGAAGAAATAAAGAAGGAAAAACACTGTAAAAAATTAAAAAACATAGGGAGCCAATGGAATTTGGAAGAAATGTGCAAGGGAGTTAAAGTTAGTCTAATCCACACATAAAGGACGAGAATAAACGTCCAGTATTTTCAAAACCAAAGTAGGAAGAAGAGCAGGCCAGGAAATCTAGTCAAGGTATAACTAAATGTAAAAGAAAGCATTAGTCTAATCAATAATATTATCATATCAAACAAAAAGCTATCAGAACTGCCTACGGGACAGTCTTAAGAGCAAGACCTTGCCTAGGGTCCAAACCAGAGGTCAGAAAACAAAGGCTCAACTCAGTCTTCAACATATCCAGAATCTAAACTTCATAACTAGGATAGAAATTTCACTCAACAGAAAATCCTCTCTCAAGGAAGCCTGAAGGATAGGATGTGCTTCTTGTGGGACACTAGAGTAATGGATCAAAATCTTATCACAGCAGGAGAAAAAAAAAGACTGCACAAGAAAGCCAGGGT